TGAGGGGACAGGTCTTGCTTTATAGCCCAGTCTGACTTCAAACTGTCAATCCTCCTGCTTGAGCTTTCTGGGAGCTAGGATTACAGGTATGCACCACCATGCCTAGCCAGTGTTTTCTGTTTTTGTTTTTACTACCACACAACAGGCACTCAACAGCTATTATTAAATCAGAGGAGGTAAGTATTATTATTGTCTTAATTTCTCCCCTGAGGAAAGACAGATGAAGATGTGCTAAGGACTGGTGGCAGAACCAGTTGTGCCCCCCACCCCGCACCCCATACTGGGCCTTTCCCTCCGGGGCAAGGTTGGTAGTTCTCTCTTGTGGAGCTAAAGGAGCAGGAACTCTGTCCTGCTCCTATGTGATCCCTATGTGATCTTGGTGGACAGTCATGGAACATTTGCTGACCAGTCTGTAAGTGAACTGCGACGGGCTGGATGACTGAAATCACAGCATCAGTCCTTCTTCTTGGTGTTATCCTTTATCTCCACGGCAAGCTCGATGTTATGTACACATCTGGGGTTTAATGAATACTTGATGCACTAGTGTAGCTATTATACGAAGGAATTGTGGCAATGGGTAATAATTAGATGACAGTAATGACAGTAAAAGGAAACATTTGTGGAGTTCTTACACTTTGCTGGGCCCTCACCTAAGTGTTTTATATATGAATTAAGACAATTCCTTTATTACCCTCATTTTACAGACAAGCTAACAGAGGCTTAGAGAAGTTAAAATTTTGATCAAGCTCACACAGTTAGTGGCAGCTGAAGGCCTTGACTGTCATGCTTTTTTTTTGGGTTGCTGTTGCTTACTGGGGTTTCGAACCCAAGGCCTGGAGCATGCTAGGCAGGTGCTCTGGCACTCCCAGCTCAAGGGATTTCTTTCAAAAGCTTTGGAAGGTAATATTATTTACTAAATAATGATCACAAATATTTGCACTGTACTCGATGGCTTACGGAGCAGTTTCATGGTTTCTCATCTGAGCCCTGCAACAACCCAATAGTACTTAGTAGGCATTGCCCCTGTCCCCTTTTATAGAGGAGAGGAGAGACCTGAGGCCCTGAGCAATTGAGAGAACAAGGTCACCCAGCCAGCAAGGAGCAGAGCAAGGACTTCAGCAAACATACATCAGCCTAAGAGCCAAATAAGACCCTGGTACCTCCAGATGCAAAGCTCTTTTGTGCAGCTTAAAACTAAGTTAATCCATGGAAAAGCACTCGGCCCCATTGCTGGTAGGTCTCTTACAAACGTCAACAGTCCCCATCTTCATGAGCACCTCCTGGCAAGAGCGTTCTGGCCAGCGTCTGTGCGCCCTGATGGACAGACTACTTTTCATTCCAGGTCATCCCTGGTAATGTCGGAATAATGATCAATCTGCATGGTCCCTGGGGAGCCATAGGCTGTTACGACCTTGGAAGGGATGGTGGAGATGATCTCATCCAGTGCCTGCCTTTACAGAGGGAAAAGGTCAGAAAGCAGTCAGGGCAGGACCAAGCCAAGGGCATGGCTTGCTTAGGCACAATGCCTGGCCATACTGCCTACCACCCAAAAGTGACATGTACTTTTTCAGAGGTGACAGGGAAAAAATTCACTCATTTCTCTAGCTGTGTGCCCCACCACCCCAGCCCCCATACAAACCAGAAGAGCATTATAAGCTATTAACCAGAAGGCTGATCATGTGACTTAATTCCGCCTCTGCTAACGGGCTTAAAATGCTTCAGCGAGTAGCCTGAGATTCATAAATACACACTTCAGTTCTTTTTCAAAGAATTATTAACCAGCTCTATTAGAACTGGAACTTGAGCAACCAAGGGGAAAAAGAGCTGGCAAGAGAAATTCCTTGAAAAAAAATCTCACCTGTATTGTATGCCTTTTGGCAAATCCCCTCCCCCCTTTTTTTCTCTCTGACTTGGAGGAAGAAGGAAAGAAAGTATCATTATGCAAAATGTGAATTTGAACAATTAATTGTGGAAAATTACGATCTCCACGGGAATGGAATTAAAAGAAACAGAACAGTGCTTGTGTAATTTAAAAAGTTATGCCAAAGGGTAACTCCCATTAACTTCCCCCAGAGGGCAGAGAAGGTCAGAGAGCCCCTGTGTGTGTGTGGGTGTGGGAGCCCATCCTACTAATGATTTTGGGGACCCTGTAATTTACAGAGCCATGCCAGATATTCCCCATCCTTATCTCTCTAACCCCAAGTATTAATTCTACCAGGCCTGGCACTAGCTTTTTTCATTCTACATGTAGGTCTTGATCAGCTTTAGCTTGAGGATTTGGTGGCTGCCAGAGATGAGAGAAATTAGGTTAGGGTCAGTGTTTAAGCTGAAGAAACAGGCTGGGCATGGGATTACGAGCCGGTGATCCCAGCACTTGTGAACTTGAGGTCAACTTGGATTACATAGCAAGACTATCAAACAAACAAACAAACAGAACCCATAAACACAAAACAAAGAAACTGCAAGAAACAGTAGGAGAAATTTTCTCTATGCTGTTTTCTATGAAAGCTTGAAAGTCAGGCCTGGTGAACAAGCTCAGGCCGTAACAGGTCCAGAAACACAGCACCTTTATCTAACTCAAACTATTTCCCACATTCCTTCCTTACACAGCCAGGCTCCTGGTGACACAGGCCTCCGAGCAAACGCTGCTCTAAGAGATCCAGGAAGCTCTGGTCTAACTCTCCCTCCTAGAAAGGAAAGTCCAAGTAGAGAGAGATGCCACACCCGTAGGAGGGCAGGGAGGATGTGACGACACCTCCAGGAATGCAGGGCCCACGCAGGTGCGTTGGCAGTCATGAAGTTCCTTCTTAAAAACTCTGATAAATCAGTACTGATAACAATTGTAATGCTCAACCACTCAGGAACCACTCACCCAGAGCTGGGGCTCAGGGTGTGCCAGCTGGGCCCAGGAAGGAGAAGGCTGAGGCTGAGGGCCTCTAAAGGTTGTGGCACGTTTACCAGTACACCAGTTATCACAGTGGGCTCCACTGAGTGTCCCCGAGACCTCCTCAGAGGTGCAAGGCCAATCTGTTTACACAATACTAAGATGCCATTTCTTCCGTCCCTCATCATCTCACAAGTTACAATGGAGTTTTCCAGAAGAGATGTGACATGTGATGACATCACTCTGATGACTATTGAGATGTGTTCTTGTGTATTGTCTTGTACATGCTTCATTTTAGTTCTGATATGCTAGACATTGATAAAACATGTATAATACCTGGAGGTCCTCCATAGTTTTTTAACAGTGGAAAGGGGTCTTGAGACCAAAATACTTGAAAACTGTTGTGCTAATCCAAACAGGTGTCAGGACTGCAGCTACATAACACCTTATTTCCACCTGGGTTTGAATCACAGGTACTTTCTTGGGAGTGGGAGGGAGCAGTCTCATTGTTCAACCTGGGATGACTTCCTTCCCACTTGTACTTCCACCCCTAAGTGGCCAGAAAAACCTTCAAAACGCCTGTGAACATTTGGTGAACTGACTCCTCCAGGGGAGAGATGGATGGACTTCTCACCTTTGCACCTAGGGACAAAGGTAGCCTGGAGAAAGCACTCTCAGCCCCAGCGCTGACATCTGCGAGCCTGCCACCCACTCAATATGAGCAAAGCATGGGTGGCCCCACTTTGGGGAGGTTTCATTCCCGGGTGGAGACAGATTACTCACGAAATTCACGTGCATTAAAAAAAAAAAAGGAAACTGGACTTATCACAGTTTAGCAAGTGACAAGGAGTGAGGACTCAAGGGTGACATGAAGCACTTTAACCCTCTTCTCGCCCATCTCAGGCTAGAGCCCCTTCCTCCAGCCCCCAGCCCGTCCTGGCCCTGGGATTTCCACAGCTTAGATGGGCAGTGGGGTCACGGGGGGAGCCCACATCGTCTGACTCTTTACCACCCTCTGCCAATGTCGTACAGGGTCGGCACAGAGACCCAGCCTGGGGAGTCTGGTGTTGTTCCGTTACCCGGGACACAGCTGGTCACGGAGGAAACAAACACAATCCAGAAAGCTGGCGCTGGGGGAAGCAGAAAACGTCCAAGAAATGGCCGGAGGGGAGAAAAACTTCAGAAGCTTAAAAAGCAAGCAAGCCACCACGGGCCTCGGCTCACTTTCCTCCTCTCACGGCGCCCACTGACCCCTCGGGTCCTGCCGTATTTAAAAGAGGGCGCAGATCCCTACAGACAAAACGAGGCCAGGGAGCCCTGAGGTTCTCCACTAGTAACTGCTGCAGAGGCGGGAAAACTTGAATTTTGCAACCAAGAGTCGCAGCCAGATCACTAAACCACTCAGAAAGGAGGCGAGACGTCCCGAAGTAGAAGCGGGACGGGAGCGCCACCGCAACCCGGCCATCTGCGCGCTCCGTTCCAAGGCGGGCGTGTGACTCGCGCGCGCGCTAGGCAACGCGAGCTTCGGGTCGGATAAGGCAACCAGGCGCGCTCCTGCGCACGCGCAAAAGGCCCACCCGTCCGAGCCTTTCTCCAGGTGCGCTCGCGCTTCCGGCCAGCCTCGTCGCACTGTCTTCCCGAGGCGGAACTCCAAGGTTGACGCATGCGCTCTTCGGTTCTCCATCTGGGTCGGGAGAGAAGGCCCACGGCTTCAGGTGATCCCGCCCCTCCCTCGCAGCGCGGAACCAATCGTGCTGTTGCGGGCAGGGTTTTAGCGAAGACGGTCCGCCCATGCGCTGAGCGAGACGTATGCTGATTGGCTGGCGCCGCGGGCGCAGGTGCGCGCTTCCTATTGGGTATGGGCGGAGCGCGAGCGGCCGAGGCTGCTCGGAGGCTGCAGGTGAGCGCGCGCACGCGCCCAGGCTCTGGCCTGCCCCGGGAGCGCGCGCGCTCGCGGGCTCGCGGGGGAGGTGGCCGAGAGCGAGGCCGCGGCGCCTGTGGCCTCCGCTCCGCCCTCTGCATCGCGGCCGCCGCCGCCCCCGAGACCCGGAGGGCGGGAGGGAGGGCTGGAGGGAGGGAAGGAGCCGCGTCCCCGCCCGCCGCGCCGCCAGTCTGACCCTCGGTCCCGGCGCGGCAGGAGCTGGCCGAGTGGAGCGCAGCGCGGAAGCCCGAGCCGCGGCCACCCCCTCTGCAGGTGCCGGTGACGAGGCGCCCGGGCCGCAGCCGCGCACTAGCTGCCCGCGCTCCTGAGGGGCGGCCCGGCCGGAGGAGGCCGCCGCGGCCCCGGCGCTCAGCATGAACCGCAGCCACCGGCACGGGGCGAGCAGCGGCTGCCTGGGCACCATGGAGGTGAAGAGCAAGGTGCGTGGGGCCAGGCCCGGGAGGCCGGGCGGAGCGCGGAGGGCGGCGGGAGGCGGCGGCGGCGCGGGCGGGAGGCGGTGCGTGGAAAGTCGCCAGAAGGGGCTGCGGGGGGCGCTTGTGCTCCTGACCCAGGGGGGCTGAATTTCGTTTGTGTTTGAGGATGGGAGGAAGGGCCACCGTGTACCCGGGGATGGGCACCTTGAACGCAAGGTGGTGCAGAGGCTTGGGGGCACTTCTTCCTGCTGGGCAGGAGGAAGAAGCCCTCGGAGGACCCCAGGGTCACCCCTGCCTGTGGTTTGGGGCGCATCGAGTGGCGAAGGAGCGATCCCAGCGGACTGGACAGCTTCTTAAAAGTTGGCTTTGCTTCCTGCGCGGGGTTTTTTTTTGCAGCACTAACTTTGGTATGCATTTAACCTACAAAATTAGCACTGCCGTCTTTCTTGGGGTGGCACTTCACTGCTGGAGCCGATGCTCTCTTCATTCCCACCTTGCCATCTTTCCGCGTCGAGTGCTTTCGCCCTTGGCCACGGCGTGCCAGGCTGCTGCTAAGTACTTCGGTATCCGCGGAATTCCTAAGTTGCCAGGCTCGGTGAGCAGAGCAGTGTGGGGATTAGCTGGGGAATGCCTTCCGAAGGGGTTCAGCTGGAATTTGAAGGTGCTCGGCAGCCACGGGGACATTTTCAGCGAGCTTTTCTTGAGTGAAACAGACCAAAGACGCTTAGATGACAGGGCAGCTCTTGGAGGAGTCACCCCTGCGAAGACAGGCCTAGAAAGCTTTGGACGTCCCCAAGCTCTGCTGTAGGACAAAGCCTGGACACAAGTCAGAGGACACTGGCCCAGCCTTGGGAACCTTTAAGATAGAATTGAGAAGGCCAGACCACATCAGGAGAAATGTAAAGTCTTACCTACTTCAAAAATAATGCAGCATCACTGGTCAGGAGAGCAAGTGGAGGGGTGCAGAACCAAGAGTGACCCTAATGCAGTCAGGAAACCGTGTTACAGTCTAAGGTTGATAGAGTGCTCTAGGTTTCTGTGACTGAGAATCACAACAAGAAAATCTATGTTCGTTTTTAACATTTTAAAGTGGTATTTGCAGTTTAAGAATTAATATATCAGAAGCAGTGCGTGTGGCACATGTTGCAATCCCAGCACTCAGGAGGCCAGGGCAGGATTGAGAGTTTGAAGACAGTCTGGGTTACATAGTGAGCCCCTGTCTCAAAAGGAGGAAAGAAAAAGAATTTTGTATATTAGGATAGGCACAAATAAACTGTTCTGTCTAATAAGAATAGAAACATAATTACAGCAAATTAAAGGAAAATAGTCTTCCCAGAGTCCTTCTTGGGACACAGCACCACAGCCAACTGAAGTGACTTGCAAAGGAAAGGGTAAAGTGCCTCAAAAAATGTAGCGCTTTTCTTAGCAATATAGTAGTGACCGTGGCTCCATGCCTGGCGTTTCTGCTATAAATTGTTTGGGTTTGTGGGAGTTGAAGTTAGAAAAGCACTTGTGATACTGCGTAATCCTGAAATTCAGCTTACAGTTCTAATGTTGGGCATGAGTCTTTCATTTTTTATCGTAGGAAAAAATAGGAGTTCTAAGTGCTTGATAAATAAAATAAAATACGGTCAAATAGGCCCTTACCTCGAGCAGTAGGACGCCTGGAGCACTTGCACACTGGAAATTGGCTTTTTGCCTTTCTCTTCTGCCTGCTGACTTTTGAGTCTTTTACATACTTACGTCTAAAGTACATGCTACATATTTGACCTTCCATACTTCATTCCTCGTCGCGTCTCAAATAGAGGCAAGGCAGTGTGCCAGCATGTGCTGAGTGAATGTGGTCCCACTGTCTGGCTGTAGGTGGATGCTGTGTAGAGACTGTCCCTATAGATAAATACAGATTGATGCATTTATTCTTAATGGATTAAATTTAAAAATGGTTATGTTCTTTTTATTTACTTATTTATTTATTTTTTGGTTCTGAGGTTTGAACTCAGGGGCTATACCATGAGTCACTCCACCAATCCTTTTTTTTGAGATTGAGTCTCCCAAACTGGCCTTGAACTGGAATCCTCCTGATCTCTGACTCGAATAGCTAGGATTATAGATGTGAGCCCTGGGATTATAGGTGTGTGCCACCACGCCTGGCTGACATTTGTCATCTTAACTAGTTAAAAAATACTTGAACATTTTTTTCCCTCAGTCCTAGGGATCAAACCTAAGGCCTCACAAATGCTAGGCAAGCACTCTACAACTGACCTATACCCCCAGCCCAGGTTTTTGAAAATACTTCATTTTTTACTATGTTAGTGATACCAGTTTTACAAAACTGATACCACTATTAAGAGGTTGTAATCAAAACTAGGTAGTATGCAGATCCTTTCTTCTGCATAGAAAAGAGTACTGTTAACTTTGTTATCTTTGCTCAGGGAAGGAGAAAACAGCACAGATAATAAAAATAATGGATAATGTAAATACAAGTAGTTAAATTTGTGATACTAGCAACCATGTGACTGCTTTGGTAACTGATTTGTCTTCCTAATTGTTTCTCTAGAGTGGTGACATCTTTAACAACCCTGGAGCTGGCTAGGGATAAAATTCAGAGCTAGAGTTCTTGCCAGTATGTATGAGGCCTTGCGTTCTATCCCCAGCCCCGGAGTGTGGGCGAACCTCTCAGAAGAGTCTTTGAGCCATAAGACTTCCTCATTATTATCCATGGGCAAATAGAATATTAAAATATTAAATTTTTAAAGTAGATTTTAGGGCTGGGGATATAGCTCAGTGGTTTAGTGTTTGCCTCGCATACATGAGGCCCTGAGTTCAATCCCTAGTACCACAAAAAAAAAAAAAAGTAGATTTTATAAAATATTTTAAATAAAATATACTAAAATTCAGTTTGCTGATTGGTTCTTAACTTTATCTCTTATAGTATTTTCACATAGTTAAAAAGTTCTTTTAATCTTGTGAGGGGGTTTTGTTTTTATTTTTCTCTGCAAAAAAACAATCATTTCTCTGGGATTTTTTTTTTTCCCCCTCTTGCCAACATTTATGAAAGGGCCACATGTACTGTGAAGCAATACAGTTTGGGATTTGAACTCAGGGCCTTGAGCTTTCGAGGCAGGCACTGTACCACTTAAACCTAGTCCCCAGCCCCCATTGTTTTTATTTTAACAGGTAAGCAAGAGGAAAAAAATGTTGAGGAAGACATTTCCAGCCAAATGCTTTTAGTAAAAACATGGAAGTCTTAAAATGTTAAATTACTAGATTTGATTCTCATTCATATATCAGGGGAAGCGATAAACCTGTGGATCAGTCTGAGCTGTGATACCAGAGGAACCTAGAGGAGAAACTATGATAACATCGTAAGACAACTGATAGGAAGGGTGTTCCTTGGTTTTATTGACTTTGAAACATGAAGGTGTAACTAGACTGTTTGAGATCTTTACGGATGAGTCACCTTCTTTTCTTGACAAATGCTAGTGTTTATATTTCAGGAATGTGTTTTAGAAACTTATTTCAATTTTTTGCTAGAAGGATGAAGAGGTTTTAGTGAGTTTTGGTTTTAATTTGATGTAAAACTAGTGGGTGCTTCAGGGATAAGCAAGGCAGGTGACCCTCTTAGGCAACAGCAGTGCTGTTGGAGAGGTCCTGGTGGATGCTTGCTTCCATGGGCCCTAGGGAAAATGAGTCCACATGTTGTCAACTGTTAAGACTGTTAGGATAGGGACTTTCTCTGCAGGGTGCTTAAGGCTGCCCCAGTAGTTCCTTAGTATTTCCTGGTAATGATAGGGATTTAGAGGAAAAACAAGTTTAGTGGTCAAACTCGTTTGGCAAACATTTGTTTAAAAAAATTGTAGTCTGGGAGTCGAACCCAGAGCCTCACACATGCTCTCCACTGAGCCACACCTACAGCCCCCCCCCCCCCAATTTCTTTTTAACCAACTGTAGGATTCAACTGAGCTTTTTTCTTTCTCCTATGTCTTGGGGATGGACCCAAGACCTAGAGCTTGCTAAGCAAGAGCTTTACCACTAAGCCACCAGCCATTCCCAAGGATTTGTTTGTTTGTTTGTTATGGTACTGGGGCTTGAACTCAGGGCCTACACCTTGAGCCACTCTGGCACACTTTTTTGTGATGGGTTTTATTTGAGATAGGGTCTGGAGAACTATTTGCCCGAGCTGGCTTTAAATTGCAATCTCTGCCTCCTGAATAGCTAGAATTAGAGGTGTAACCACTGGCGCCTGGCTTGACTGAGTCTTTAATACGCCAGGCTTCACAGTGATTCCTAAGAAGGTGGTTAAAGTTGTATATCATTTTCCAAACTTATAGGACTGGGCACTTTGAAGAAAGCCAATTAACCCTTTCTTAGGGTCCCCCATTGGAGGATATACCATGCTAGTTCCACAGTAAGTTATAAATTCTGCTTATTATGGACTAGAGGAAGCCAGTCCCTGGTGTTGAAGAAGAACCAGTTTAAAGAATTGGCCTTGGGAGGCAGACTGGAGACTCAAGAACCGTGAAGATAAATATTGGGCATGGTGGAAGCTGTCTTCCTCCCTATGTGTGAATTCTGCACCCTCCCTGAAGTAATTATTCTCTTTACCCGCTAATTGGTGAGCTTCTGAAGCAGGCCCAAACCCTCTGGTCTCTAGGGCCTCGCACTGGGCCAGCATATAAACACTTCTTGCGTTAATTGGGTAGTTGTAGGACATACATGATATATTAATAAAACTGATTTTTTTGCATTAACACAGGGAAGATTCTTATCTCCAGACGACTGTGTGTGTGGGGGGGGGGGTACTGGGTTGAACTCAGGGTCTCCCACTTGCTAGGCTGGTGTGCCTACCACTTGAGCCACTCTGCCAGCTCCAGGCCTGTTTCTTATGTGGTGTACCTGCTTTTCTATCATCCCGCATGCCCAGAAGCTCAGAGCTCTGTTGTATTCTCAGAGTCCTGTTGTGTGTTCTACACTGGTTCTTTCCACATCCCAGGAGAACGTCGCTCTTTCATGGAGAAGAAACAGATGCTTTTGTAGTGGTCAGAATAGTCTTGGGCATGTCTTGGTATCCATGACCTGAGTGAGGTAAAGACTGCTGTCAGTCTGGACTCCAGTCAGGGTTTGAACTGAGTCTCTGCAGGGCAGTCCCCCAGTGAGACCTGGACACCCAGGGATTGAGTTGAGCCAGCTTCTCTTGACAGGAACACCCTTCAGAGGAGCCAGAATGAGGAGGCACATTCTTCCCCATTCTGCTTTTTTTATCTGCTGATAATGAGATTTCTGACAATGGGCCCTCTTTTCTTTTTGTTTTTGAGACAGGCCTCAACTGTGTGTGTGTGTGTGTGTGTGTGTGTGTGTGTGTGTGTGTGTGTGTGTGTGTGTGTGTGTGTGTGTGTGTGTGTGTGGCGTGTGTACAGTGTTGTGTGGTGTGTGTGTGTAAGGGGGGTTACTGGAGCTTGAACGTTTGCTAAACAGGTACTTTAATGCTTCAGCCACTCTCCCAGCCCTTTGTGATAGGTATTTTTTGCTACAGGGTCTCTAGAGCTATTTGCCTGAGCTTACTTCAAGATCCTCCCAAATTGCTGCCTGGGCCTCCTGAATGCTGAGGTCTCACATGTGCACCACCAGCCTGGGGGCTGGGTACTACTGTGCTTATTTGGTTTTGTATGCCATCCACTTTCAGATTGTGTCCTTCTGTTACTTTTGTTTTTAAAAAAAACTGTAATTTGTTTGTTATATTTATAGTTCGGAGCGGAGTTTCGTCGGTTTTCACTGGAAAGATCAAAACCTGGAAAATTCGCGGAGTTTTATGGGTTGCTTCAGCATGTTCACAAGATACCCAACATTGATGTTTTAGTGGGCTATGCAGACATCCACGGAGACCTGCTGCCCATTAATAACGATGATAATTATCACAAAGCGGTCTCCACAGCCAACCCACTGCTTCGGATCTTTATACAAAAGAAGGGTAAGCACCACTGTCTAGAAAAATTGTTTTAGAAATAGAAGTGCATTTTCCTCATTTGTGGGATATAGACTTTGCCATAAACTTGGTGAATGAGCATTTTGTGTAAATCTTATGCTAATGAGCAGGTAGGTTAACAGGATTGTGATATTGTTGGTTTAGTTAATAGCTTTATACCTCACTGCATGTACTCAGAAATTTGTGGGGGTTTTATTGTTGTTTTGTTATGGTTTTGAGACAGGGTCTAGCCCAGGCTGGCCTTGACCTTGAGACCTTCCTATCTTGGCCTCCCACCAAGAACTAGATTATGGGCACGCACTACCACAACTAGCTTGTGTTTTTAATTATAGTTTTTAGGGGCTTTTTTTTTTTTTCTTTTGCTGTACTGGAGTTTGAACTCAGGGTCTTGTGCTTGCTAGGCAGATGTTCTACCACTTGAGCCATGCTCCCAACCTTCCTTAAGCTTTTTAAAATTATAAACTAGGAATTTATTACCTCTTTATTTCATTGATCAGTTTATTGTCCACTCAGATGTTAAAAGAACATGATTTTGGAGTCAGAAACATTCTTGTTTATAGCAGGTGTGGTGGTGCATGCCTCTAATCCCAGCACTCAGGAGGGTGAGGCAAGAATAGTGAGTTCCAGGCCAGGCTGGGCCACAAAAAGAAACCCTGTCTCAAAAAAAAGAAACACTCCAGGTTTTGGTAGTGATCCATCTTCAGGTGCTACATTTACCATTTTATAGATACCTGAAGCAAAGTTTTAGTCACAGTATAAAGGGAATAAAATAAGTTGGAGATCACTATGCAGGTTTGAAGGGCTAAGTGCTTACAGTAGATGCCCTTTAGGGTGTTTCTCACACAAAAATTATCTGGAAAATAAGTAGCAAGTCGTGATTTTGGAAAAGAAACTTTGATATGAGGATCTGAAAATCACTTTTAAATGTTTCTGAGTCCTAAAACTTTAACTTTGTAGCCTACTCTATGTTTGTGTGTGTGTGTGTATGAGAGAGGAAGAAACTTAACTGCGCGCATGCGCTAGGAATCCTTAGGCGGGCTGCTGCTTACTCCTTTCTCTGGTTAATGAGAGGTTTGGGAAGCCCTTGTGAGCATTGATTCCACTGTAGGGATAATTAAGGCCTTACAGTCAACCCAGGAAGTATCTTGAGAGAAAGGGTGGGGATTACCCTTGAAGATGAAACTGTTCTTCCAATCGGCTGATGAACACTGGACCACTTCCAGTGCTTTGAAATTCTGGCTGCTAAGGGGGAAGTGGGTGGTGGCAGTTGCACAGCAGAGAGCCCAAAGCAGGTGGTAGGAAGGTGAGGTGGCTGAGAAGCCCTCCAGTAGAGGGGAGCAGTGAGGAAGCAGCTGTGCATACAGATGGGAGAGGCCATGCTAAGTCACTGCACTCAGTGGAGGGAGCAGCAGAGTGCAGCTGAGTGGTTTTGAGCCTCTCAGCTGAGCCAGTGGCATCAACCAGCAGTCTGGAAGAAAATGATGGTTTGATGTAGGACCAAATAGTCTTACAGACTGGTGAGTGGAGTAGGAATGGTAGACTGGAGTTTAAGATAGAGCTCTTATGGGTTAGGAAACCTTGGGGGAGTAAGTGTAAGAACTGCTGAAATGGAGTATCGGCAGAGGTGCAGCCTTGGGCAGCTGCAGGGAGTGCTGGAGAAGGATGCATGGCAGGCCAGGAAAGGAGGACAAAACATTTGCATGGAACTCCTCATTTAAGCACACCACTTTAAACAATTTTGGTTTAATAGGTCTTTCTTATTAGTAATTATAATTTTCATTAAAAATTTAGCTGCTGCTAGGGCTGTCAGCATGGTTCAAGTGGTAGGGCACCTGTCTGGCAAGTGCAAGGCCCTGTGTTCAGACCCCAGTTCTGTCATAGAAGAAAAATTTGGCTGCTACTTGATGTGTTTAGTAAGTGTTAAAAAAAATACATTTTTTTCTAGTACTTGAGCTTGAACCCAAGGCCCCTTACACACTAGGTCCCAGCTCTAGAATGACTTTTTAAACTACAACTGTCTGGCAAAATTTTGTCGTATTATCCTATGTTAGAAAGATGATACAAGTCAGTCATACCACCGCCTAGAAATTTCACACTTCCACGGTTGTGGAATTAATCTGAACATCTGCCAGCCATCCCTCTCCCCCACACTGAGCCTTGCACTGCTAGGCAGGCGCTCTTCGACTTGAGCCAGGTCCCTGGTCCTCTTTTTGAGACAGGGTCTTGCTGTATATTCCAGGCTGGCCTTCAATTCACGAATTCCTGCCTCAGGTTCCCTAATGCTAGAACTGTAGTTATGTTCCACTATACCCAGGTCTGCCAGTTTTCTCTTAAAATTCTTATTTCTGAGTGTTAATTTTTTTTTTTTTATGGGACTGAGATTTGAACTCAGAGCTTCATATTTGCAAAGCACGTGTTCTACCACTTGAGCCACACCTCCAGCCCATTTTGCTCTGGTTATTTCGGAGATAGGGTCTCCAGATGTATTTGCCCAGGCTGGCCTTGAACCACAGTCATCCAGATATCAATCAGCCTCCCAGGTAGCTAGGATTACAGGTATGAGTACCTGTCCTTTTTTGGGGGGTGGAGGGGGGCATTACTGGAGTTTGAACTCAGCGCTTTCCACTTGGTTAGGTAAACGCTCTATCACTTGAGCCATACCTATAGCTCTGAGTGTTATAATTTTTATTGAAACATTTCAAGACTTGTTTTTCTTGTACGAATTGCAATTTAGAAGTATATTTGAGCTGTGCATGTTGATACACACCTGGAATCCCACCACTCAGAAGTCTGAGACAGGAAGATTGAAAGTTTGAGGCTAGCTTGGGCTACATAGTGAGACTGCCTTTCAAAAAAAGGATTTTTTTATTAGTAGTGTTTTATATTAGTAAAATGTCTTAATATAATTAATACCCTTAGGATTTGATTTAGAAATAAGCAGTTTATTCAACAGGAAGAATTTTAGTTTTCAAAAATACAAATTAGGCTGGATGCCAGTGGATTTTATGTATAAAATATATATATATATAAATTATGTATGTATATATCGAAATTAAATACAAACATAGCAACAAGTAAACGTACTTTGGTCCATTTGTTCATGCTGAAAAACCCTATGATGGCATCCCCCTGCACCCCAAATAAAATCCTTTCTGGTTTGGACTCCGGGCCTTGCCTTCTTGCACTCCCCCACCCCCTCAATCACAGTCACCAAGGTGGCTCTTCTCTGTCCTTCAGACTGGTAAATTTGTTGCTGTCTGCCTTGGGCCTGCTTTTTCTTCCCTGGCAAGCATCCATCTCCAGCTTTTCCAGGGCTGCCCCAGTCAGCCTTGTTGGAGGGTCTCTTCCAACCACCCATCTTTACCATTTTCCCCCTGAAGACCCTGGGTACCTTGCTTAAGCTATGGGAACTCAGTTAATTCTCTGCACTAATTACCAACACGTTCCATCTAATTGGTACAGAGGGCGTGGCGAGTCATGTTGATATTTTCTTTTTCTTAAGCCCAACAGATGCTTGAGTAGAAAGCTGATTTTGTGTAAACCTTAATGAAGCTAATAGGTGCCTGTAAGTATAGTTACATTTGACTGCTCAATTACAAAAGTTTTATTTTCTTAGCTAGTGACCCCAATTAAGAATCAACAGGGCAGCAGTTATACTTGATATGAAGACAGGTGGTCTTTTTAAAGTGATTTTTAAAAGTTCCAAAACCATTTAAAACCATATGATCTTTTAAAATCTAATATTAAAGTTTCTTTGAAGTAAAAGCTCATGATTGTATAAACTACTTTACAGCCCAGACACTAAGACAGTGTCCTTGTGGATTTTGAAAAGTTTTATGTTTTATGACAATTTACTGCTAGAAGAAAAAAAACCCATACTCTATTTCTTGGGCCATTATTATAGAAGCAAAAACAAAACAAAACACCCTGATACCTTAAAAGTTGTTTTCACAAAAGGATTCCCAGCTGTTTTGCTAGCTCCCCTGTTGCAGTATTAAGAGTTTATCCATGTTGGTGCCGCCCTATCTCAAAAGTACCTAACACAAAAAGGGGACTGCTTGCTACAATGTATCACTGTCTGCTTTTGTATATCAGAAAAATATGTTTACATTGGATTTATTCAGAAGTATTTGTTAGAAATACCTTAGAGCCTGGCCTGTTGGTGGCTCACACCAATAATACTAGCTATTCAGGAGGCAGAGATCAGGATTGTGGTTCAAAGCCGACCCAAGAAAATAGTTTGTGAGACTCTACCTCGAAAAAACCCTTCACAAAAAAATGCTGGTGGGTTGGCTTATGTGGTAGATAGAGTACCTCCCCAGCAAGTGTGAGGTCCTGACTTCAAACCCAAGTACCACCCTCCACTCCCCCAAAACAAAAAAGAAAAAAGAAATACATTAGAAGGGCCTTGTGTTTTTATTAAAATTTTGTCTCAAGATATCCTATTCCAGGGATATGGCTTTCTGGCTGACACATGCAACTGGGCAGCAAGACCGTCTTAGATCTTGATCCTTGCGCTGGCCGTTACTTTGCAGATGTGTTTTAAGGCTATATCTGAATGAATCAGGGTCTTATATTAAAATAGTCCAAGGGATAGACATCGTAGTAGTGAATTGCGAAACAGTTTCACAATATGACAGGTGTGAGGGCCTGTAATACCAGCATTGAGGAAAGCAGAGGCAGGAGGATCTCAAGTTCAGGGCCAGCGTGGGCTACATAGCAAGACCCTATCTCCAAAACAAAACAAGAATATATAGGTTTACAAAATGTGTGGCCCCAAATATAATAAGAAACTGGGGAGTCACATTTCAGAAAATGACACCAGTTGCTCATGATGGAGACCTGGGTGTTATCTTTACCATACATATTTTTCAGTCAGTCAAAGCCTATTAAAACTGTGTTTTAATTTGTGTAATTGTGGCCCCTTCTCTGGCACCATCCTAAATTACCGCAGCGCCTCTGATCTTCCCCTCAAGTCATCTCCAGCTTGCTTCTAGAGCGAGCTTTGTGGAAAAACCAGATGAGATTACCATCGCTCTCCCTTAAATCTCTGGTTTTCTTCCCAGGGCCCTGAGGCTTAAGTCCATAACCCTCAACACTTCAGGAGGCCTGTTTGTCTGCTTGGCTCCTGACCTCCCCTACACACACACACACCCTCTACACACACACCCCCGCAACACCTCTGCACTGCACCTCTCCTGCCCCACCCTCCTTCCTCTCTAGTTATTGCACCCTGTGCCTGGAACCCTCTTCCCCTTCCACCTGGTTACCTGCTGCTATTTTTCCTGCCTTGGCAGAAACCTCGCTTCCCCAGAGAAGTTGTGCCTCACCCCACAAGCCAGGCTAGATCCCCATCTACACAGCACCATCCTTGTTGTCAGCAAGTACCCTGTGTGTTTTGTTCACTGAATTGGCATCACTGAGCAGTGTATGGCACATAGTTGTTGGTTATATAGCTGGTGGCTGATATTTCTGGGTTGGGAAGGGTCTGCGGAAGTTGAATGCTGGTTAACGTGATGTTTAATCCTTTTAAGGTTGCTGGATGAATTTCATTTAACTGTTTTGGACTACAACAGAGTTGACAAACTAAGCTTGCTGGCTGTTTTTTGTAGTTTTCTTGGAACACATCCCTGGTAACTCCTTCATGCATTACCTCTGGGTACTTTTGTAAGAGGACCCAAATGGCTTGTAATACCTAAAACATGAACTGTCTGACTCTTTTGAAACAGGATCTCCCTACGTCGCTCACCTCAGCCTCCTGAGTGCTAGGATTATAGATGTGCACCACCACACTTGACACTGTCTTACTTGATGGAACAGTTTGTCGACCCCTGGATCAGGATGTTTTAAACAGTCACTGTTTAAAACTGTCTTCCTCTGAAGATCACATGGGGTTGAATCTTGAACTTTCTTAGTGACTCTCCATGTGTTTGTTTGGTTTTTTTTTTTTTTTTGGCAGCACTGGCATTTGAATTTGGCCTCATGCTTGCTCAGCGGGCGCTCTCCACCAGCCGTTTTGTACAGGAATTTTTCGAGATAGGGTCTTGCAAACTGTTTGCCCTGGGCTGACTTTGAACCTCGATCCTCCTGATCTTGGCTTCCTCAGTAGCTAGGATTACAGGTGTGAGTATCTACACAGGCTCTCCATGCATTCTTACTGGTGTTTCTAGTTACATTTCTGTGTGGGACCTTGATGGAGTTTATCTGAAGCTTTTTGAGTTTTTCAGATTTGCTTTCATTCACTGTAGGCTTTAGTTCTTGCCTGCTTCTCACAAGTGGACCCTCGCTTTGCTCTGTTTTCCAGTGTGTGCTTTGGGCCCCCAGTGAGCTGAGGATGAGATAACTGAACTTCAAGAACTAATGTCTAAAGAAAGCGAAGTTCAGAGGGAGGCCCTCCTGGGCCTGTCAGGGAAGCCAGGAGCCTTTTGTGGAAGGAAGGAAGGAAGGAAGGAAGACATCCACTTTGGCTGATCAGAGATCTTGTAGGTGGGTAGGTGTTGGTGGCTGTGAACTGAAAAGCAGGCCAGGGAGAAGTGTGTTGCTGGTGAGGCCTGTGCTATCCCTGTGGAGTAAGTCTGAGTTACATCAGGGGAAGGTACCGTGGGTCCAGTTTGCAAACTCCCCATTCGCTGGCTCCCAGTGGAGTGCTGGTGGCCGCTCTCAACAGAGAACCCTCCCCAGTTCCTTGTGGACACTCACCTTTACACTTCACACCAACACCCCGCACACTGGCTGTCTGCCAAAATATTTCTTTCCCAGTGGCTGGAAACTGATTAGCTAGATGGATTAACAAAGGTGCCTTTGTCCTGGGGCGTATTGCTTTTGAGAATTGAGTGGGGAGCATTCACACAGTCTGGATGCCATGCCAAATTATGCAGATTTGGGGTTTTCTTGGTCAGGTTTCCCATGAGTAGGTATGTAGGCAATTGGATTTTGTTCTCAGTTTGTATGGTCTGGAATTTCCCTTATAAATGTTATTCAGGCTTTCATTATCGATTGTGTTAAAATAAAAATACATATTTAAGAAAACACATTCGGTAGAAGACTAATCTTGGTATGTTTTTGGCCAAATTTTACAAAAAAAGAAAAAAAATCCTTCATCAAATGGCTTTATCTCCAAAACCAAATTATAAGCAGTTATCTGCCTCTGTGAGAACATAATGTAAGCACTTTATAAATGAAGATAAAAGTATGGGGTGAGGAAGGTAAAACGCACAAATAAGGTGTCCCTAAGCATCCATTTACCTGAAACTGGATCCTGAAACATTCACGCAGCATCAGGAAAAAAAAATGCACACTCCCGCGCCTGATGCTTGGCCACCCCGACCTTTGGTGTGTGGACGTGAAGCCTAGTAAAGAGGCCTGGGTTCTGTCCTTTTTCTGTAGCTCATTTTGTACCCTAACTCCCTGGTTTGTAAAATGAAGGTGACAGTGGCATAGCCATGGGAAGGGGTTGTCAAGTGAGAGAGGCAAAGGAGGTTGACAGTGTGAGGTGGTAATATGGCCCTTTCTCCAGCTCCTGTTCCCAGGTAGTTGGGACAGGGCGTGGCCAAGGGGGTCTTTTATTTCTTCTTATTAAAGTATTTTTTTACTGTTGAAAATTTGACTTTTTTGTTTATTCTTTGTGTGTGTGTGTGTGTGTGTGGCACTGGAGTTTGGACTCAGGGCTTAAAATTTCTAGGCAGTCACTCTACCACTTGAGCCATGCCTCCAGCCTTTTTTGCTCTGGTTATTTTGGAGATAGGGTCTCACTTTTCTGCCCAGGTCGACTTGAACTGTGATATTTTACACTTCATACTGTAGTTGGGATGACAGATTAACAGATATGTGCCACTATGCCCAGTTTTTCCTCTTGAGATTGTGGGGTAGGGGGTCTCACAAACTTTACCTGGGCTGACCTGGAACCGATATCCTCCTGATGTCAACATCCTGCATAGCTGGGCTGGCAGGCATGACCCACTGGTGCCTAGCTTTGGTTTATTCTTGTTCCTGTTAGTGTTTTTGTTCTTGGCAGTATTAGGGTTTGGACTTGGCCTCATGCTTGCTGGGCAGATACTCTACCACTCAAGCCACACTCCCAGACCTCCAATTAGTTTTGGTTTGGTTTTTGTTTCTTTGGGTGTTTTGAGACAGTGTCACTAAATAACCCACGCTGACCTCGAACTCCTGATCCTCCTGCCTCTGCCTCCCCAATGCTGGAAATACAAGCTTGTACCCTCCACCCAGCCATAAAAGTGGGATTTTGGCTTTCCTTCCTGTTGTTAAGTTCCTCTCCATCGTACCTACTGCCATTCTCCAGTGTCTTGTTTGCAAGCTGGCTTCCTTCAGTCACGTGATGTCATAATATCTGGGATTAGTGCCGTTTTCCCTTAGTATTAGAGGTTATAAACTGGTGACTTTAGGAATGAAGTCAACCTGCAGGTGTGTAATTTAGTGCAGACAGCTTTGTTGTCATTGTTTAATGAGATGGCAGCATTTTAAAATGGGAAGTTTTTGCCTGGAAACAAGCTCTCTGGCACGTAGAAGCCCTGCCTGGACTAAGGAGCAGCGCAGATGCCTGGGGGCGGGAGCCCCTGCCACTTCCCTTGTCTGCCACTGCGGAAACAAATGTCACTGCACTGCATTGTTTTCACATAGTGAGGAAAAGGGTTAAAAATCTCATACGTCTTTCAGAAGTGGGAAAATGAAAGACAGAACCCCTAGGAAGCTGAGGCAGAGTTTGTTTGCAAAAGACCAAAATCCCTAAGCGTTTGCTATGTGCCTTACTTGTGTTATCTGCCCAACTGCTAGTATACTTGTTAGGCCGTATTAGGCTGGTGAGCGCAGTGTTTGTCCACCTCCCCTTCAGTGCTGAGGGCTGAGCCCAGGCCTCAGCAGTTCAGGGCAGGTGATCCGCCACTGAGCTCTACCCTCAGCCCTCAGGCTCTCCTGATTTACCTTGGAAATCAAGTGGCCCTCTTCTGTCCCTGAGTTAATATGATAAACTTGCAAATTGGGTTGTTGTTTTTAACAAATGAAGGAAAAATATATGTTAGGTAGCTGGTTTAAAATGATGTTTAAGAATGAGTTTGTGGAGCTGGGGACTTGCTCACGTGGTAGAGTACCTGCCTAGCAAGCACAGGCCCTGAATTCATCCCTGATGAAATGGTACACAGCTGTGTCCCCAGCTACCCAGCAGGCTGAGGCAGGAGGATGTTTGAAGCCAGCCTGGGCAGCCATAGCAAGATCCTGTCTTGGGGGAAAAGAAAAAAGGATGTAAGATCTATCAGAATTTCACTTGCCATATTTAGTGTTTAATAGTGACCTTTATCAAGTGTAACCTTGGCATTTGGTAGTTTTGAGGTGTGTGTTTGAGAGGACCCCTAGTGGCTTTCTGTGGCATGGCACATCTTGTGACTTGATTGGAATAAGCTCATATTTAGCTAGTTTGTGTGTGTACAAACTACGTTTCAGTTATCCCTTCTGTATTGTTCAGCCAAAGATTATTTTATTTTATTTTATTTTAAACAGAAGAAGCAGACTACAGTGCCTTTGGTACAGACACGCTAATAAAGAAGAAGAATGTTTTAACCAATGTATTGCGTCCTGACAACCATAGAAAAAAGCCACACATCGTTATCAGTATGCCCAAGACTTCAGGCCTGTGTCTTCCATCATAGACGTGGATATTCTCCCAGAAACACATCGTAGAGTTCGCCTTTACAAATATGGCACAGAGAAACCCCTAGGGTTCTACATCCGGGATGGCTCCAGTGTCAGGGTCACACCACACGGCTTAGAGAAGGTTCCCGGCATCTTTATATCCAGGCTGGTTCCCGGAGGCCTGGCTCAAAGCACAGGACTATTGGCGGTTAATGATGAGGTTTTGGAAGTCAATGGCATAGAAGTTTCAGGGAAGAGTCTGGACCAAGTAACAGATATGATGATTGCAAACAGCCGCAACCTCATTGTCACCGTGAGGCCAGCCAACCAGAGGAACAACATTGTCAGGACCAGTCGGACTTCCGGCAGCTCCGGCCAGTCCACGGATAACAGTCTTCTTGGCTGTCCGCAGCAAATGGAACCAAGCATTGAGCCGGAAGACGAGGACAGTGATGAAGAAGACGTTATCATTGAAGACAATGGAGTGCCACAGCAGATTCCAAAAGCCACGTCTGATGCAGAGAGCCTGGAGTCTCTGACACAGATAGAGCTGCGCTTTGAGTCTGCACAGAATGGTTTTGCTCCCGCTCATGAAGTGAGCTCAGCATCCGTAGCAAGTGGCACAGACACAGAGTCTGAAACACGTGCTCCCTCCCAGAAACTCTTAGAAGAAGATGGGACCATCATAACGCTGTGAAGCCGTGGCTTGCCTGTGTTCTGAGTGAGGACGCGGTGGGGACTTGTGGACTTGGCCACTGACTAAAATGTATGTGCCTCTGAACCAGTGCTGTGGAACAGGCAAGCTGAGAATGTCACTGAAACAGGAGGGTGGTCATGGTCAGTCCACATGGACCTTGGTGGCACGAGGTGAACTGAGGTCTTAGGGCCTTGCTGATGGAATCCTGTGCAGTGGCTGCTTCTCTACAGAGAGCCGGGTGTCGGCATGTTCCCGGCACTGCCGAGAGGACTGGGTCATTTCTCCTGGAAGCGGTTGCATATTCAACCTGCTATGCAGAGACCAGTTCATTTGCCCTTTCACTGTATTTTTCAAATTCTGATGTGAAGAGGTCCGATTCTCTGTTGGGACACTGGAGACCTCAGGTGGTATGTTCCCAATATTGTACTTGGATTTTTTTTTTTTAATGTTGTTCCTCTGCTAATTGTAACAAATTATTTTCTCAAATGCAGTTTTTCTCCCAATTTCTAGAAATCAAAGCAGTGGGCCATGTTCAGGAGTTGCTTCCCACATTACGCGCAGTGAAGTTCCCTCTGTGCCTGAGTTGTGAACCGTGACAGTTGTTCACATGGTGTCTTCCCCGATAACTTCCCAGTTAGATGACTTCCATGTGAGCACAGTTTACGCTTTCACAGGCAGTTCCTCTCATTCTCCTTTGATCCCTGTCCTCATTTCCCTTGGAAGTCAGTCCTTTTCTTTTTAGTGTGTTTTATTGGTGTGCGCTTACACTCTTTTAATGTATTAAGTAGAGTGAGACATTTTGGATTAAAAAGGCACCAAATGGATAAGAGGTTTTACACACAGGACAAACTTGTGCACTTTTTATACAAAAAAAAAAAAAAAAAAAATTGGGTTTTCCTTCCTTGGATTTCTAGGAACACTGCGGCATATTAGAAGTCACCGCTGACAGTGGAGTTGATTAATTTTATTGGACTATTTATTACTTCCCAGTGCATCCACTTAGGAAGATTGATGTAAGCTGCTTCCCCCAGCTGGTTCACTGTATGGAGTGCACAAGTGCTAGATGTGAGACTTTCATGGAGACTGTAGGTCCCTGTGGCTTATGACTTATTTATTAATTAATTTTATGCTAGGGCTAGTAGGAATACCTTTATAAGAATTGTGTGCTGTTAAAACAATGAAGACTCAAATGACTCCGTTTTGAAGGATGTTTCTCCAAGGTGAGCCATATGAAGAAGTGGAGTCTTGGTTGGATGCAGATCACTGGCCTCAGAGAACCTCACCCTTTGGTTCACGTTACCACGAAGCAAATTTCCTTAAACTGTCAACTGACCGCACAGCGTCCTGGGACGCACGCTTTAGTCGAATCCACTGAACTTCCTTTCGTGTTCCACTACTCAGTAATGGCATCCCAGCTCTAACGTTCTGTCTTAGAAACGTGACTCTTAACAACGAGATAATGTCAGATGTAAAAGTTTGATCTCATTTACATGGTAAGTGGTGCAGGGGCTCAGCATTTTAAGTAAAAATACTTTTACACACTACCTCTCTCTCTTTTTTTTTTTTCTAAGCAAAGTTTTAACATTAGGACTTTTCTCTTAGGGAAAAATACTTCAGGGCTTGACTTTTGTACAGATTTTAACTGTAAAGTACAGATTTACCTTGTGTTTGTCTGTGAACCCGGGAATCAAAGCTGCTAGTGCTGTTATTTTCCGTATCCTTTCAGGATACATGTCTGTGGTGTTTTCGGTGAGCTCTCGGTTGTTGAAATTTTGGTGAAATCATTGATAACCAGATGCTGTAAAACCAATAGGCCGTGGTTACACAATGGAGCGCCAGTCCACTGGGACTCAGCCAGTTATTTCAAGTGCACCTTAACACAATTATCAGTACATCCAGTGTAAAACCTTATAGTACTGAATGTCAAGCCTAACTGTGAATTTTGTTCTGTATCTTAAGTAAATTTATGATAATGTTCTTAAGCTGTCAACAAAATATATGTACTTTTGTGAACTATGAATTTTCTAATTAAATTTTACATGCTATAACATGATTTTTACATGAATGATACTTTGTTTAAACTATCAAATGTCAGTATTTTACTACAATTTTATTATAAAATGTACATTATCACTAAATGAACTTTGATTTTAAAAATCAAATTAGCTTTAGTTGTATATTATTTTTTACAAATAAAGATAGACTTGTCTAAAAGGCTACTTTCTTGTTTGAAATTGTATGAAAAGTTACCCACCAAATGGGTTTACCAAGCCTCCAGTAGATAAAACTAAGTAGAGGAAACTGCTAAGTTATAACAAGATACTTGTTTTGTTTTGTTGTTGCAGTACTGGGCCTTGAACTCAGGCCTACACCTTGAGCCACTCCACCAGTCCTATTTTGTAATGGGGTTTTTTAAGATAGGGTCTCTCAAACTATGCTGGGGTGGCTTCAAACTCTGATCCTCCTCTTCTCTGCCTCCTGAGTAGCTGGGATTACAGCCTGAGCCACTGGGGCTTGGCTACTAGATACTTGCTTCTTTAACCTTTTTTTTTTTTCGTGGTACTGGGTTTTGAACTGAGGGTCTTGCACTTGCTAGGCAGGTGCTCTACCACTTGAGCTATAATTCCAGCCCTTTCTTAACTTCTGCCTGTTAAAAGGTGAACACCTGATTTTATGTAAACCCATTACAACTGTGTATGAACATACAGCTGTAGACTGGAAGGTAACATTTAAAATGTACTTTCGCCAGAGCTGGGCTGGTGGTTCATGCCTGTAATCCTAGCTACTTGGAAGGCTGAAATCCAGAGGATGGAGGTTTGAGGCCAGCCTGCACGAACAGTTTGAGAGACCCCCATCTCTAAAATAACCAGAGCAAAATGGACTGGAGGTGTGGCTCAAGTGGTAGAGCGCCTGCTTTGGAAGTGCAAAGCTCTGTGTTTACACCCTAGTCCCACCAAAATGAGCTTCATTCATTCAGGCCTAGTGGTACACAATTGTAATCCCAGCTACTTGGAATTCTAAGATTAGGTGGAGCTGGTTTCCAGGTTAGCACCAGCAAAAAACTCTGTGAGACCCCCATCTCACGGGAAAAAGGTGAATGACCCCTGCACCTGTGAACTGACCGTGGTCTTGAATGCTCACCGCAAGGCTTCTGCCTTGGTCATTTGGACTTCAGGGACCCCAACTCCACTGGCTTCCATGAAGATTTAGTGGCTCAGGGAGCTGCCAGGGGGCAAGGCTTTCCACGCAGATACCGTCTGACTGTGCAGTCTGATGGCTTTCTATGACAGACTTGCTCTGCAGTTGTTCTGTCCACAGGGTCCTCACTGTGGGCACCAGCAGCACATTGGAAATGTGGTTACAGCAACTAAGACTGAATTTTTAATTTTACATAATTGTAATTTAAATGACTTACACAGCACAGGTGAGAAGCTGCTTTTTTCTTTTTTTTTTTTTTTTTTTTGGTGGTACTGACGTTGGAACTCTTTGTTTCTTATTTGCTTTCCTCTATTGGTTTTTTTCTCTCAGATAAATTCCCCCCCTGTGGTGGCAAAAGTGGCCATTCTGTCACATTAACAACTAAAGAAGAGAGCCACTGGGCACCAGTGGCTCACACCTGTAATCCTAGCTTCTCAGGAGGTAGAGATCAGAAGGATCTTGGTTTGAAGCCAACCTGGGCAAATAGTTCAGGAGACCCTATCTGAAAGAAAAAAAAAAATCATGATGTAGGTCCTGAGTTCAAAACCCAGCACCCAGTACCACAAAAAAAAAAAAAGTCACCTTCCCAGAGACAGTGACCCAATGTGCCTTGTTCCTTAACCAAGCCCTGTGACTCTCCATTGCTCTGGCCACTCTGGGGTGATGGGGGAAAATCAGGGTGCTATTCCTACAGGAGGAGGAAGGACTGGGGGGGAAGGAAGCCCTCAGGACCAGGGCCCAAAGCAAAGCAGTGACAGAGATGCATCTTCCTGCTCAGAGAGACTCGACAGCATGCTTCCTGGACCCCCTCTGCAGTACACACCTGCGGCTGTCCCCCTTAGCTCTCAGCAAACTGTTTTTAACAACAGGGCTTACTATTTCTTCCAGTGTATACACGGGTTTGAAAGCCTTCATCTACTCATCTTGTGTGCTGTACTGTTAAAAGTAAGCTTCAAGGGCTGGGGACATGGCTCAAGTAGTAGAGCGCCTGTCTAGCAAGCCCAAAGCCCCAAGTTCAAACCCCAGTGCCACCCAAAAAAACGAAAGTAAACGGGTCCCCAGCCTGCCTGCAGGGCACCTCACTTCCTAAATTAGCTTCCATCGTAGTGGAATCCCAAGTCCCCACTCCAGTCAGTGTGGGCAGCACAGTGGCCTGCAGAAAGTGATGTCCAAGAACCCCAGCTGGCTTTCTGTGCTTCTGAGTCTGCAGTAGGACAGGACGAGGAGTGCTGGAATGTGACCAAGAGTACAACACCCAAGTTGCCATCAGCTCGGCATTCAGACACAGAGGGCTGGAATCCACAGCGAACAGCATGTGTCACTGTTTCTAAGACTGGAGCAGATTGCTCTGAATTAGGCAATGTGGCTTTCCTTCCCTCAGGCAGGCTCCCCTCCCGCCCTGGAAGGTAGGAAGTCACATCGCAGCTTTTTTCCTGTCTTCCGCTGTGTCTCAGGTATGTGCCCGAACTGACTCAGGCACAGCTGTGTGTGCTCAGTGACTCAAGGAACTAAATCACTAAGCCGGTGAAGACCTGCCGAGCACAGGCCAGTGCCTTAGAGCAGTGCCTTCCAAGTGACCAACGCTAGCATCATCTGCAATCAGAAAGAGTCCCAAGGAAGCCACCGGGGTAATTTACAAAGAATATTGAATTGCTCTCTGGGGAGGCAGTAATATGGAGAAAGTTTTCACTTAAAATCACACACGACTTTTGACTAGTTTTTTGTTTTTATTTTGTGGGACTGGAGTTTGAACTCAGGATTTCAGGCTTGCAAAGCAGACACTTATCGCTTGAGCCACACCTC